GTGTAATTGGGTTTTAATAATAGTTCATTTTGGTTTAAACAATTTATCAAACACCTTCTACCCATATGTACAAGGACTCTCCTCTAACGGTAGGTGAATTTATTGATCGCTTTAATTTGTGCGCAATCCTATGGCATATTACTCTTTTCTTTTACATTGTTGTGCTATTGTCTACCTCAAATGGAAGTAACGAGCAAAGCAGGGAAGCTTGTCAGGAGCTGATCTCATCTACTACATCACAAACTCATACTAAAATAAAACACTTAACCCAGCAACCAACATAAAGATATGCAGATAAACAAAAGATGGAAGACAAAACAGAGAAAAGTTGTGAGTGGTTAAAGTCTTGACACTTGCGATATATATCAATTCTACTACACAAAATAAAATAGAGATAGAAGATAAACTCACTGGATTGGTTTGAGCAGATGTGCAGAGACACAAGGTAAAGGTGAGAGTGATTAATATGAGAGAGTTGTATATGAAGATGAAAATTGGATGAGTTATCGTCTGCTAAAATAGGGGGCAGAATGGTCCAGAGGATAGAGTCTTCCCAAGTTTCACGGGAAACAGAAAATTTTCGTGCAAATTTGGTGGGAAAATAAATGGCTCTGTTTGGGGGAAAATCTATTCAGCGGGAAAAAAAAAATTCTCGAGAAATTTGGTTTCTTGCTAAACAAATGCAATAAAAACTTTTTTTTTTCTCTTTTCCCCATTTTCCACCACTCTCCTGCTAACCAAATGAAGCCTCAGTGTTCGTTTGTTTAGCAGGAAAATTGTAAAAAATGCAAGAAAGAAATTTTTTTTAAAATTTTCATATGTTTGGTTAGCATAAAAAGGAAAATGATAGAAAAAATAATTTTCTTTCATACTTAAATTTTCTCATAAATAACCAATTTTTTTTTTTTTTTTGTAAAAAACACAAGGAAATACAAGAAAGTTGTGATTTATAACTAAATTTTTATTTTACCCCTATTTTTCTTAAAATATTTTATTAGTTATTAATTTTAAAAAATTTTGGTAGGAATTTGATTAATCATATAATTTGACCCAAAGATCTTTGTGTTGGTGATTGTCTTAGAAATAGGTTTTGAGTCATTGTTTTTAAAAAAATTAATTTTTAATTATAATTACATATATTTTTTCTTTTTTAGACTGATTTAATATAATTAAGAGTAATTTAGACAATTATAAAAAATTTCTTATAACTTTACTTTCTTTCAAACAATAGAATAAAATTTTTTATAACTTTCCCGTAAATTTTTCATTCTAACTAAATACATGCATGAAAATATATTTTTTATCATTTTCTTTTCTTTTATTTCACTTTCTATTATTTTTACTTTCCATCATTTTTTTCTTCCTAACCAAACGGACCCTTAGAATTGAGTATTTTTTTATTTATAGTTGATCTAGCTATTTCTTCGATCAAGAATAGCTTTGAACAATTCAAAATATATGAAAATATTTTTGGTTTTTTATTTTGTTTTAAAAAATTAAAATCCTTAGATGATGATAGTTTGAAAAGTTATTGTCTTAACCCTGAAAATTTTTTGAAGCATGATTGATTTTCTGATATTGATGATTTAGATTTATCTTAAGAATTAGTTGTATTAAGAAAAGTCTAACAATCTGAAATTAACACTCCAACAGAAACCCTAAATTATATAAAATGATTAGATTTTTTTCCAAATGCATGTATAGTTTTTAGAATATTGTTAATAATACCGGTAACAGTTGCTTTGGCAAAAAAAAGTTTTTCAAAATTTAAATTAATAAAATATTATCTCAGATCAACTATGTTACAAGAAATATTAAATAGATTAACTATATTATCCATTGAAAAAGATATATTAACAAAACTTGAATATAAAAATTTAATCAATATTTTTGCATCTCAAAAAATTAGAAAAATAGCCTATAAATAGGATCCCATTTTATATTCTCGCCTAGGGCCTCCAAATTTGTTGGGCTGCCCCTGGTGCCGATTGTATGTGTCATATTATTTATAGATTTGGGTGGAATATTAATCAACTCTAATCTAACTATTTAACTAATTATGGTGTCTTAACATGATTTGTTTATTGTTCTATCATATTCGCGTTAACCTATATAATCCGTCAATAAAAAAATTAGCATTAAAATTTAACTCTAAGATTCCACTATCTCTTGATCGAACTCACACTCATAGTTTTTTTATAAGCTAAAAATTAACTTAATAAAATAACAAAAACATAACATTTTATTCCTACAATATTAGTTAAACCATGTTAATTATGTCGATTTTATGTTATTTGTGTTTGACAATAATTCAGCTTATTTATTATTCTAGTTGACAAATTATATCATTTATGGATTAGTGTTAAAAATGATTAACTCTAACTCACTAATTTTATTTCAGTTCCAAGTCGAGTTTACGTGCCACGTCAAAAATTGACTCCTTTAACCTTCAAATCTGACCCCTTACCTAATTAAAACTCGGGTTCTTTGGAGGTTGGTCTCTTTTTTTAGACTTATTTGGACTTCAGTACACTTAAAAAACTTATTTGAAATAAGTTCATTTTTATCTCCATTATCCAAAATACCTTCAATTGTTATATTTAATCAAAACTTGTTTGAAAAAACTAACTCCTAAATTGAGAATTATATTAGTATTAACAACTCTTAACTTGAAAATTATGCTAGTAAAATTAAACAGAAACATGCTCAACAAAAAAATAGTAATATTAAACAGTAACATGTTTAATAAAAACTTAATTAAAAATTTAATCATTATAATAGAGTGACACCCCTACAATAGAATAAATACTCACATATGAAGTTTTTATTCAATAAGTTACTGTTTGATGTTATTATTTTTTTTGAACATGTTACTGTTATATATATATATATATATATATATATATATATGTACTAACACAATTTTCAAATTAGGAATTATTATATTTGAAAATATTGAAACTAACAATGATAGATAATATTTATGGTAAGAATAATTATAGAATATATTTCAAAAAGAATATGAAATGTTTTAAAATGTGTACTTATTGATAACTATTTGATGAAAAAAAAAAACTTAATAGAGTATGTATTTGAAGATAATACTTAAAATCAAATAAATTTTTAAAAAGTGTCGATTATCCGCTCAAACTCTAGCGCTCAATTGAACGTTGTCCGAGTCTATGTCAAAAGGCTATCAAATAACAACAGCCCAACTAAGTATTTTGAGCAAGAAACACAAAAGAACTCACCGAGTTGTAAAACGGAATAGAAGTGAATAGTTAGAGCGAGTTCTAAGAAAAAAGTTCGTAAAAAGCTAATGTAGAAGTCTTTCAATGTCCTTATGTCATGAATGGGAGCCTCATTAACGTACCGAAATACCGCCTTTTTAACGTTATATCTTCATTTTTTATCATAAAAATGTGTCTCAATTACAAATCATTCAAATTAGAGTAATGCTACGTTGATTATTTAGAGTTTTTATTGGGACTTAAATGACATAATATCACATAAAGAAGTTCAAGTCAGTTGTCATATCATTTACATTCTTGATTTAATCCCAAAATTTAATTAGTATAACATTACTGTTCAAATTAAAATCATGAGAATTGTGAAAGCAAGATTCGGCCACCTTTGACAGCTCAATTTTGATCGTGCAAGTGTTTAATTGCTTCCAACACGAATTGCAATCCACCCCTAATAACCCTATGGTAGCCAGGGATATTTAAAAAGTAGAACAACACCTAGTTTAGCCCAAACCTACCCCATATATAAATGGTTTAGTCTGGTTGGATTGGAGAGGGAAGAAAAAAGGAGAGAGAGAGAGTGGTAGTTACTCTGTTCATATCTATTAAAAATCATGGTAGTTGTCATGTTTATTTAAACAAATACTATTTGTACACGTTAAACTTTGTACACGTTACACGTTAAGTAATGCAAGTCTGACAAAAAAGTGTCTCAATTTACTTACCCTGATAAATTTTGTCATACTTTGGAAGGTTATGTCTGAATCTTTCTTAAAAAGACTCGGTCTTTCTTAAAAGACTTGGTATTTCTGAAATGGACGCCAAATTTAAGCTCCTTGAAAAGGATACATCCAACATAAAGTGTGGTTTATAGTCAAGTCAAGAAAAAAGTAGCATGGAATGGACTTAGATTCTAATACTTTTTTGTCCCCCCATAGAAAGCCTTTGAATCAAATGGAAACACTAGAAAATGGATATTTCACAACCAATCAAATAAAAAAAATATTTAATGAAGTTGACTGCAGCATATAAAACATTTATTTAGAAAGGTATTAGCTGTTGCTTGTTCTAAGAATTTACAAGTAACACTGCACAAGCCAAAAAAAAAAAAGAGTGCTTGCAAATGACTTGTACCAACCAAATCCAAAGAAAAATGATTTCGTATTTCAGTCCAATGAAGATGACATCAACCCTTTACCTAAACTTGAAACTTCTGAGTGAATCCAATCAAGGCCTGAGCTGTGATTAAAGATGCTCAACTCAACTGGGTTGGTTCAATTCCAACCAAGGCGCAAAGCATAAACAATTGTGAACACGCAGTGAGCTTGACAAACAAGAACGAAAATCAAAAACAATAAACACGAGAATTTAGGTAGTTCGATAGAATTCCATCTATATTCAGTATGTATCAGAATCCTAAAAGAGTTACAACTTGTGCAATTGAGAACCCTTATTCTGGACAATTGCTCTACTCCACTGTGTTATGCCAACTAGTCATTGGACTTTTGGAGTTGTCGAATTTGAATCATCCACTATTTGCAACATAAACCCATACAACCTTAACTTTAGTCCCCTTTGCCGTATGAATCCAAATTTAAACAAGGGTTGTAGTTTGTAGGTAATTTTGTGTATCTGAGCTTTATCTTGCAATCAAACACATGATTGAGACAATTCTTCGTAACAAAAAAATCCTCAACTCTGTTGGATTGGGTAGGAAACTCAGCAGTCTCAATATATCCAAAAACAAACACATTGGTCACAAAAAAACAAAAATGAACAATTTGCAAGTCAACAAAGTAAAGTATATTAAAATGGACAGTACAATCTACCCAAGTATGTTATATGTCATTAAAAAAACACACGAGGTGACCAAGTGGCTATAAGTATGACCATGTCCTAGGTCATTCTAAAGGATGCATATAATAGTATCCTCCCCATCATCTTCCATCTTCCAACTTCCAACCCATTTCATAACAACCATCACCAGCTTCATCAGTCCAATAACAGAAGTTCAATGGCCATCCCTCTATCCATGATGATGATGTCCTTCGAGGGACACAGGCAAGACACATGCCTGTTCCAAAACCCTGTTCCAACTCCAAGTTTCAATAGAAAATTGATGTTCCAGGCCCCATCAACAAGAGAAGTAAGAAGTAGAACACTGGGAAAAAACAGTGTGGTATGTAAGATCAGTGACTCCTCCCCACCCCAGGTTTCGGAGCTCAAGAAAACGACTGAGATAGCTAAAGAGCCTAAGAGAATATTAGCAGACACTTGGAAAGAAATTCACGGCGAAAATGATTGGGCAGGCATGCTTGATCCCATTGATCCCCTCTTGCGATCTGAACTAATTAGATATGGGGAGATGGCACAAGCCTGTTATGATGCACTTGATTGGGATCCATACTCCAAGTATTGTGGCAGTTGTAAAATCAAGCCTAACAAGTTCTTTGAAAGTCTCGGATGGACACAGTGTGGATATGAAGTGACCAGCTATCTCTATTCAACTTATAACATGAATCTCCCAAATTTCTTCAAAAAATCTCTCTGGCCAGAAGGGTGGAGTCATGTAGCAAATTGGATAGGCTATGTGGCAGTGTCAAATGATGAAACGTCGGCTTATTTAGGCCGTAGGGACATAACAATTGCTTGGCGTGGGACAGTTACAAAGCTCGAGTGGCTTGCAGACTTGATGGACTTTCTGCAGCCAGTTTCATATCAAAAGATTGCAAGTCGCGATCCATCGATCAAAGTTGAGGCCGGGTTTCTCCACCTCTACACCGACAAGGACAAGAGTTGTGATTTCTGCAAGTACTCTGCAAGAGAGCAACTTCTAGCAGAAGTCAAGAGAGTGATTCAGAAGTATGGAGATGAGGAATTGAGCATAACCATTACAGGGCACAGTCTAGGCAGCGCACTTGCAATGCTTAGTGCTTATGACATAGCCGAGACAGGGGTGGACTTGGGGGAAGATGGGGAGGTCATTCCTATAAGTGTATTTTCATTCTCCGGGCCACGAGTTGGGAATTTGAGGTTTAAGGAGAGGCTGGAGGGGTTGGGGGTGAAGGTGCTGAGGGTGGTGAATGTTCATGACGAGGTGCCTAAGGTACCTGGATTATTTTTCAATGAGCAACTGGCTCCAGTGCTGCAGAAGATAGGAGAAATGTCATGTTGGTGTTATTCTCACGTCGGCGAGGAATTGGCTTTAGATCACACCAAATCTCCATTCTTGAAAGACAAGAGCAACCTGGCATGCTTCCATAACTTGGAGGCTCACCTGCATTTGCTTGACGGGTTAGTAATTCATTTCTTCTTTTCTCTTGGAATGGTCAGGATCCGGGTCCTTTCAGTTTCAGATTTTATTACTTTCTGTGAAGTTATTTTCTGGTTTATACTCATTACTATTTTACATTTTGCTATGCTGTGACACATTTCAGATATAGATGGTAATTTAGTCATGTCATAACTTATTTAGTCCGAGTTCATGTCAAATAATAGCTAATCGACTATAACCCAACTCATTTACTTAATCTATAAGATGCCCTGACACTTCACGAGCCTGTATATTAATTGTTTCGTATTTAGGGTGACACGTCTAACCCCTAAACCGAGCAAATAAGGCTAGTACATCAGTGTCTTTCAACAAACCTCAACACACATAGACCCCCCCATAAATGAGAAACCAACCCATTCTATATCCTAACATAACCAAGTAAAAATCTCTAGTCCTACAAGGAATTGATACAATACCTTATCAAATGGAAAGAAGTGAAAATAATCCATCAGTTCAAGATTCAACACTATCAAATGAGTTTATCGTGTCAAAATCAGATTTTAGCATTAGCAAATCGTAAAGAATGAGTCATCTAATCTTTGTTTTCACAACTCAACAGGTACCATGGGAAGGGGAGCAGATTTTGGCTTGCTAGTGGAAGAAACATTGCATTGGTGAACAAGAATTCTGATTTCTTGAAGGATCATTTCCTGGTGCCACCAAACTGGTGGCAAACTGAGAACAAAGGGCTGATCAAAAACCATCTCGGCCACTGGGTTCTGCCTGAGAGGCATGATCTTGAGGACCATTTGCCTCCACAAGATTTACACCATCATCTCCAGCAACTGGGTCTAGTTGTTGAAGACTAATCTCCCTCCGGCCATGATTTGAGAATTTGAAGGGTTTTAAAGTTTAGTGTGTCAGTGATTCTTTAACTCAAAAAATTGGCTACCATAAAAATTTATGGATTGTAACATAAGTCAGGCTTAATTTTTTTCAATAATAAAGAATTGTTCAACTACAAATACCACATTTATCAAGGACTTGAATTTACAACATCAAAATATTATAGTCATCAAACTTTTTCACTCGAGCAAACCAGAGTACTTTGAGATGAGGTTTAATTAAACTAATACCAAGTCTAGTCCAGATACAAAAACATGTAAGGAGAAAGATTTCTCAATTTTTATAGAGGATAGATTAATTGCTATGAATTCAGTGTGACTTAAGTGATATTAGGTATTTTGCTAAAGTTCTTAACTTAAGTTTTTTACACAAGCCGAGAGCTCAAAATAGAGCAGCTCATTGGGTTGCAGCCATGAAGTTATCTAACTCAATGCTTTGAGTTGGGCGGGCTGTTCTCCTCCCGAGCTTAAGGCTTTATTATATTCTGACTGTAACCATAATTTTCCTACGTAATGAATATCTTTGCTTGTTTATTTTCAAAAAAAAAAAAAGTGTGACTTAAGTGATATAACTCAACCAACATTCAATTGATAATGAATATCTGATGAAAACTGAATAAACGAGTATCCAAATTAGGCCTGTCAATGTTAGATACCATTTGAGAATTGACTGATTCGAGCTGAATCTTAGTGGTTTCGGAATGCCTTATTAGAATTGTCAAATAAATAGATCGACACAAAATTGACTAAATAAAACGAATTCGCTATCCGTAATTTATATACAATTTATACCTATACTAAACACGAATTCAGTTATACACCGATAGAAATAAGATACGAAGTTGACATAAACCATTAACAGTTATAATCTACATTGATATGAATTTAATAGGAACAATGAACAAATGTGCACAGGAAGTACTCATACGAATCAAAGAGAACCTAATTTACTGCCAAAATAGGACTTGCCTCAGTAGCTGAAATCTCTTCCACCGTGCTGCTTCCACTCGGCGGCGACAGCCATTACACCGCCGTCACCTTCCTTCTCTCCTCCTTGTCACTATGTTTCATCTTCTCTTCTGCTGTTTATACTGCAATTATGTATTAAATGAATGGAAATTCAAAGCTTCGAAAGCACAGATTAGGAGAAAAGAGACAGAAAAGGGGAGAGAAGAGAGGAGAAAGAAAGGACTAATAGAAAGACGCGGCCAGTGGATACGGTTTGTGATGTTTAAATCGAAAAGTCGGGGATAGGGTCGGGCCAAATCCAACCTTGGACCATCATTTTTTTGTGTAAATATTGGGTGTAACGGTCAATAGTGTCACGTGATGTAACCTCTA